TAAGACAGACAACTTTGTTATTAAATTTGTTTCCACTCGCTGGTCTTGATAAAACTTTCGCGACAAATCGGAATGACCCTCGCGAGCCTTTTTCTGGTCGGGACCCATTGGTTGAGAACCAATGTGTCGCGTCGCGAGTGTCAGCACGTCAGATGAAGGACATAATTCACGCCTTTGAATGAATATTGCTGCCTTTACGTTTGGTTCCAGTGTTGACTCCCGATTGCTGTAAACAGGTGGCGCCAAGTTTGTCATCGCACTGTGTCTTTGACTTTTCTTTACGGCACGGATTGTTGGTTTCGTCACAGTGTCTGGGAATTTAGTTATTTTGATTGTGACGCGGTTTTGAGAAAGCTGAGATAATTTTTAGCTAATGGGACAGAATTTCTCGTCGCCTGAACCAGCATTGGGCTTTTTCGCCGTCTGGGTGTAGGTAATAAATAATACCCACCACGACCAGACATTTTCGCCGACTCAGAATGTTTCTTCGTCTTCCACTAATTGGGGTTGGAATGACACAAAAATATTTAATCCTGTCAGACATTTAGCACGACGGATAATTGGTCCGTAGCAGTTACTTTTGCCTGAACAGGACAACCAAGGACTCACATCCACGCCTCGAGGCGGATGTGAGCCCCCTTGATTTCAGTGTCTGAGTTGTCCAGTAGAATGGGTAGCTGTACCATGCGACTTTGACCCTGCGGCCACTTTATCCTTTAGTCCGTAATGTATCTGCATGAGGCCTGTTTAGAACACAGTTTTGTGGTTTCGTGTTTGCTTTCGATCTATTTTAAATGGTATAGATTATCGCAGAAACCTTTCTAATATCGTATTACCTCGATTATAAGACTCGCCCCTGATTTAGTAATAAGTTTTGAGGAAATAAAATACGTATATTAAAATAGGATTTGTCAATGTTCAAACATAAAACTTCATTGTTTAAATTCTCTCAGAATCTTCTTTGTTACTGTCACATGACTAGTGTAGTGGGTATAAATGTCTTCCTTGGGCTTTTATATCGATTGTTGGATGTCTTAAAATCGAAGACATGCGATAGGGTATAAATGTCTTCCTTGCGCTTTTATATCGATTGTTAGATGTCTTAAAATCGAAGACATGCGATAACTTAACACGCAGTTAATTGTTTTCATTGTTGTTCTGTAACGCCATGTTTTGGAGGCGAGGAATGCGGTAGAATGGAGGGAGTAAGATAAATACGCGAAAGAGAATATTGTGATGAAAAGAGTGGGGGATGAAGATACGAAGAAGAAAGTGTCTGTTGAATTTCAGCGGGCTTTTGATGCAAGTTTATCAAATCAAGTAGCAATTCTGAAGCTAATTACTTTGTTGGTAGTCATAACAGCTTGTGTTCTGTTGTGGTTTAGTTGCTGGCAGTCTGTGGAACAGAAAGCAAGGTTAAGTCGGGCCAATCCGCGTATGCTGACAGGTCTTTGTGACTTTCCTTGTCCCTGTCAATTGCAGCAGACGCCTCGAAACGCTGATAGTTGCTCAGCCATGTTCCCATACTTGTACGGAACCATAAGATTTGTTATATAACCGTTCATGAATCCCCTTTCGTGTTTCATAAGTTTACTTTCTTCCTTCTTACACAGAAGTGGAGACAGTGATATGTTTTGACTCGTGGTTACATCTGCAGTTCGTGCCGAACTCCTGAAAACCACGTCCGCCCGGCTCCAACCCTGAAAGAAGGAGGAGCGATGTGAGTGGAACAGTTTCAGCCTATCACCCCCCCCCCCCCCGAACTCCACGTTTCAAATTTAATTATTCGCAAATCAAGATGGCTGTCTTCCGGGTCGTTGCGTCTGGCAGAAGCTTACCGACGTTTCAGAGGTCCTTCCTGGCACTTATCGCCCTGATGAGGCAGCAAGGGCCTCTGAAACGTCGGTGAACTTCTACCAGACTGCGCGGCTCAACGACCCAGAAGACAGCCATCTTCGGACTCACCGCCGTGAGAACTCCCGCACAAGGGCGCCATGGAGACAGCAGCCAGTGTATTTATCCGAAAAACGTAAATCCGAACCTGATTTCGAACGTGGTTTTTTCATGCAGGGGGCTGGCAAAACAGTGTGAGGTTTGTTCTCTTCCCTTCCCAGCACAATCATGTTAACTCGTATGTTCAAGATTAACTTTAATATTATCCTCCCATTTACTCTTACCCAGGTCTTGCAGGTTTTCCAGCAAAAATACGAATCTGTCTATTGTCGTATCGTTAATGCCGAATATGTAATAAATAAACCAGTTGGTATCCCTTGGACGACGCTTTGATAATCGCCGGCTGCTGCAGCGTAACGTCATCATGTATCTGCACGCTGTACTTTGGAGGTTTGCCCAATCTCAGAATGACGCGCGAAAATCCCATCGCGGTTCACACATAGTCATTAACTCCCTGAGACAGCGAGAGACATCTACCGGGTGCGTCCAACATTGCCCTCAGTTCATCACTAGCCCTTTTTCTTTCGTCCAAAATATACAGGGTGTGTATTATGGTCAGAATTACTTAAGAAAAATAATGACAATAAACTGCTAAGATGACCATGATGACGTGGACTTTGTTACCGCATCAGCAGACGAACTTAATGGCCTAGTGTATTAACTACGGCTTTCTGGGATTAGTCACGTCGAATGTCGCTGGTTGGTGAAAAAGTTCTTGTTTCTCCAGTGTTGTGTATCTGGTGCGATCCGAAATCCTGGTGGAGATGTGACAGCTTACACATCCACCGCGCGGCGACCAGCAACGGCATCTGTTGAGAATATGACGAACTTGCTTCCATTTCAGACACGATTTCGGACCCGATGAGCTGCGACACGCTGGCAGCAGAAGACACGGCGTCTCTCCACGACGCGCCGTCCGACAAGCAGCAGTCGCAGAAGCAACCACCGCCCACAGCAGACGGACCTCAGCGTCCGCTCAGACTGGACATCCTTCCTCCCCCTCCCAACACAAACTCCAGCAGGAGGTCGCCTATGGTACGTACCAGTGCTTGTGCTGGGTGAGGCGTTTTAATTTCTGTCATTCGGTTTGGTTTCACGTGGGGTACTAATTTTTCATAGGTTATGCCCTCTTAATATCCTTTATGAAAAGCAGGTGTTGAATTTTTAATTGATACGCACAGAAATTTGCATTAATCTGCCACCTTTCAGTTTCGACCTCCGAGTACCACATTTAATCGAAACCCATTCAGTGATTTGACACGTACTGACGGGACGACAACCTCCCAATATGTAAGTTCACTTCGTGCATGCAAAGAGAGGTTTGTTCGTCTGTGCAGACCTATTGAAATTCTGTTTTCAGAACTTCTTCTGAAGCACATAAGACCATGTTTCTTTCGTTGTGATTTTGTTTCCATGACGGTTATTTACGCCATTGCCCGCTAATGGTTCAGATTTATTTTCGAAAGCCCCAGAATCGCCTTGGATCTCTTTCAGTTTGTCGTCATTGGAACAGCTGTAACACGAATCGAAGGAAATTTCAAACAACGCGCACTGTTCGACGCTCTCATATAATGTGTAATGTTCCTCACGACGACGTTTATTCTTCTGCGTGTGATGACGTCTTTTCCCGTCATTATTCATCAGTGGGCTGGATGGGATGCTTCTGTTTTCAGAGTGGCTGCGAAACGTACAGTTCGCCACTGAGTGATCCGCTCAGGACGAGCGGAGAGCCGCTACCTGGCGCCGGGACCCCGCTCAGCACGCACCACGAGCTTCAGCTGTTGCGCGAGCAGCTGGAGCAGCAAGCTCAACAGACGCAGGCCGCCGTGGCGCAGGTACATCTGCTTCGCGATCAGCTGGCTGCAGAAACAGCGGCTCGGCTTGAGGCCCAGGTAAACCTTTTCTTGCACCTCTGAGGTCACTACCTGAAGACATGGATAGTATAGGTGCCCCAAGTTCTGTTTACCGACGGGAGAGAGGGAAAACGTTGAGGTTATGTTGCTTGCCTGCCTTCCTAGTCCTGCTTTGTCAATAGATTCATGCTACTGAGGATGCAGAGGCGTCGAATATGTCCAGCACTTCCATTATTCAGCTTCTTCAATAGTAGTGACGTATACCTCAGGTCATGACGAGAGTATAAACAATTGAGTAAAGAAAAACTAATTGGGTCGCTTAATAGAAAAAAAATGTTTTAATTACTCCTATGAGTTCCAAATGTAATGTTGACGTATCATCGGAAACATCGCTCTTTGTAGCATCGATACAAAAGAAGTATTTACTACAAACATTTTTCGGAAATAATGCATGTGAGTGACCCTTTTTTGAATTACTTTCTTAAGGCAAAAAATGGCACAGTAAATGCTCCAGCCACATGGCAAACTGACAACATTTTATCTTTAACAAAGTCGCTTTGACTTGGTCTTCCAAATTTAGCCATTTTCCTTTAGGACACAAATTCAGTACATTGTATGGGTGTCAGTCTAGGAATATGTTGATATTACTCACCTCAAAAAAAACTGACCCATTGAACCCTGCATGTTCGGTATTTTACTTTATTTATTATGTTGGCAGCACTTGTGTATCGAGATCATTTTAATTCTTAAAATGCAGGTTGTTTAACTGCATGGCGGTTATAGCGACTGTAAGAAGTTGCAGTTTTCAGGTACGTGCACACAATGAAATGAATTTCTACCAGACTGCAACTTAGAAATAAGATCCAGCACATTTTAACGGGCAGTGAAACTTATCCTACTGTCGCAGACACACATGGATCGAGCTACATTTCTCTGTTATAAGGTGGCACAGGACACCACTTTTTATCATAAATGGTAGCTGGGATGAAAATTTTCTCTTGTTTTTCCATCAAAAGGGTATTACGTTAAAGTGGCCCTTTCCAGTGTCCGATCTCATTCGTACTGCTTTTCCTTCACGGTCGTATCGCGTAAATGTTATCATTCCATCATCTGACTGTATAGTTCAATTTTTTTGATGTGGCCAATCTAAAGTCTTAAGTGTGTCGTGTTCACAGTGGCAGCAGCTAAGAAATTGAACCGTACATAAGATAGCCTCCTACTACGTTGCTTCCCGCCCCACCAGCCGGGCAGCAGTGCCCTCAGGCCCAGTGAGAAGTCAGTCTATGGATGGACAGAAATTTAATTGATGATTAATAAATCCAACTAATGTATTAGTAAATTAATAATTAATGTGTAATTTTAGTGTGAATCTGGAGAAACTTCATGTGTTATAAGACGTGTGTGAGCTAACATAGTATATGTGTCTGCTGTAGTCCAGCCCAAATTTTACATACTGATTTTATAAGTAGCGTAGTTTTCATGTCTTAAGTGATTAACTGTGGGTTGGAACTAACTAACAAACTAACTAGATGGCTTACCGAACCTGATGGTTCATCACCGAATTAACCAAAGCCCTCCACCGGACCCTGTCCTAGGCCAACAAAATCCAGTCTCCTTCAACTCCTATCTCCCATAGATCCCGCCTGAGATTATCCACGTCTAGGTCTCCCCAGCGGTCTCTTCCCCTCAGGCTTCCCGACCAATACCCGGTGCACACCTCTTGTCCCATCCATGCGCGCTACATGCCCCACCAATCTCATTCTTCTCGACTTAATCACCCTGACAATACTGGGGGAGGAGTACAGATTTTTAAGCTCATCATTATGCAGCTTTCTCCATGCCCCATCGTCTTCTCTCCTAGGCCCAAAAATCCTCCTTGACACCCGATTCTCAAACACCTGCAATCTATGTTCCTCCCTCTGAGTGAGAGACCATGTTTCGCACCCATACAGAACAACAGACAAAATTATTGTTTTGTATATTTTAATCTTCAGGTTCCTAGAAATCAGATGGGAAGACAAAATATTTTGAACTGAGAAGTTGAATGGGTTGGAAACTTTTCTTAAATTCATTTACACCTCTGTATAAATCACTAATATTTATGTTTCTGTGATTAGTTTCAAATTGATTAATTTTGTTTTTCAGGTATTCCCTTTCCTTCTTCCGAAATGCTATACTGGTTTCACGTCTTAAATTTCGCAGATTTTCTCTATTGATTCGGCTTTGGTTTTGCTGCCATTGTAATTACAACGAACACTTTTGTAAAAGACGTGTGTAGGGCTACTTTGTGGCATGCACATTTTTGCTGTTCCCCGTTTTTCATTCCTCAATCTAAAGGCTTTTTGGAACGAATTATTAAAACAAAGCTGTGTGCAGGCGCGGACACATCAGTTGCTGGTGCATAACAAGGAACTTCTTGACCACATCGCAGCTTTAGTAGCGCATCTGCAAGAACAGGAGAGACTTCAGCAACGCCACCAACAGGTCAGCAACAACCAGGGTCAGGTCCAACAGCAACAGGAGCACGTGACCATGGTACCACAGGTAGGAAGGCAGAGCGCCCGCATGGCTCGTTCGACTCGTTTGTCTCTTAACTTTGCACGTCTGTCCTCTTGCATGACGCTTCTGTTGTGGTAAGGTTCTTATGATCTGTAGTGATGGGGAATTGGCTATGTAACAGAAGAGGTGCAGGCTTAGTCCAGTTTATTTGATACTGTACGTATTACTTCTAGACAGTATATCATGCATATTTTTAAGAAATACTTATTTGTAAAGATACTTCAGAAAGTAACATTCACAGAAGAAATTTAAATATGTTATTTAAAGAATGAAAATTCAAAGTGGACGGTAACTCTTAACTGCACATCCGAAGTATTCTGTTGTAAGTTAAAGGAATATGTGGAAGGATTTCTGGAGGCAGAAAATATGATATTACCTCTCCTTGCACATGTAAGAAGAAGGTCAAGAATAATACACGTTTCTACAAAGTTAACAACAGTTAATGTATTATTATACAGTGTGAGCAGAATGGAAGTCTACTTTTTCAAAATGATACTGAAAGCAAATTTCGGCATACTTAGAACTTCACATCTACACCAGACAATAGAAAAAACTCAAAATTTTGTACACACCTCACAGGGACTCAATATGCGCTTTGTGATTCAGACGGCAGGGGCCAAGATGACAATCGAACTTGGCCCAAACTTTGTGCAGTGTCCCTGATGATGGAAGCTATGGCAGTTGTGATTCAAGTGTCTTATAAATGGATGCACTCTGTTGTGGGGTAGCCATTTTCAAAAGTAGTGGCATCTAGCATAATGGTAAGATTATGCTTAGTAATATGTGATCGTTTTAAATGACATCTTACTACTTAGGCTGGGGCCACGCGACCGTACAAAGTACGTCCGTTGTAACGCACATCGTGACGTCCGTCATAGAATTATGAAGGGGCAAGACCACAGAACGCAATGGCTTCTTCCGGCTCCTTTGGGGCAACTGACGCATCACACTGCGCTCGTGTGGTGTCCTCACCTACGTCTGTTGCAACGGACGTACTTTGTACGGTCGTGTGGCCAGGGTCTTAGCCTGTACTCAGAAACTGGGTACTCTGAGATTTATTTTTTGTATGGATATCAGGTTTATATCAGATTTGAAGAGATTCTGTATATTAAATCAGCAGTGCATTTTGTTGTGAGAGAGTGCAACAGACAGTTTTGGTATAGGATAACAGAATTTTTCATTTCTTGTTTGCCTTTCTGTATTAACTAACCTGTATCAACCGAGCGTTATGTCTTACATGTGGTTTGCCTGGCCATGTCTCACACTAAGATACCAGTAAACCGTTAACCCTCACTGACAATTCCATTGTACAACAGTTTAAATCCCCTGTTATCATATGGTAAAGGTTAATGCAAGCTCTGTCATGCATGAATGCTGTTGGAAAGATGAGAGACCAACTGCGCATAGTTCAGGATTGGTCAGTTAAGCCCAGTCCTGGACGCTTCATGATGATGATTATGATAATGATTGATTTACTACCGAGGGATTGTGTGGTTTTAAAATCTGTTCAAATATCATGGTTATATGCAACTGCCGATACATAAACCTCGTCGGACATGGTTTGAACAAACTGAACTTCATGCTAACCTAACTTGATATTTGATAGTGTCATTTATTCTGTGTAGGGTATAATTCTTACGCTAGAATGGCTTTTATTTACAAATATGTAGTGGAATTTGTACTACATGAAAAAAAATAGTTGTACCTACATTGCGTGGTTTCCATATCCTCATTTGTAACCAGGATTGACAAGATAAAAGTGATGTTGACAGTAAAAAATATAAGAGACAAGTAATTATTCCTTACATTCACACTTTATAATCACCTTGTGATTTTCATGTTAAAGGCTCAGTAACCTGATCCTTTACATTTCCATGTCCTTTCTAATCCATTTCCACATCTTATCCAGGACACACGTTGAAGTCCTTGTTCCCATTCTGTCATAATATGTTGTGTGTATTTTACTAGTAACGGCGTGTGTGTGTGTGTTATCACAGTAATATTGAGTTGATTGCCGTGTTGTGTGTGTAGTTGCATTCTTAGTCTTTTGATTTCTGAATTGTTATGCTGCATGCAAACATGAATACACAGCAGCAATATGGGCCGAGCATTGTGTCGCGTGATAATTGTTTGATCTGATTCACCTTATATTCAATTTAATATCTCAGTATGAATGTGACTTTATGTCTGTATAGTACGTCTCGAATTATAGGTAAGAAGGCAGTTAAAATTCTGGCTGAATTGTTATGACTGTCAGTGTTCATGGTGGTCTGAAATAATCAAGACTCTGTATAGAACTCTAAATTAACTTTATCTGTATTCTCAGAAACAGCTTGTATAGAGTATTGCATCGGACATAAAATATTTATCTTTAAGATTTGAAACTTTTTTTTAATATTTTCCATTGCGGTGAATAATGCAATTTAAAAATTCTGTCATGACATCAAAGCTAGTGACATAAGAAAAATTTCTGGGAGCATATTCCAAAAATACATGTATATAAAACGGGTAAATATTTCTGTGCATATTCATTTTTGACAAAGAGACCACTAGCGTTATTGGATATGCACCACTGAATATTATAAAAAAAGAATCATGATCCCCAATCCAATATCTTTACTGAAACTCAAATGCAGGACACGTTTTTTGGTTTCTGACCCTAGTCCCTGTAATTTCCTTGCCAAAATACAATTTTGTTGTTTTGCATCGTTCTTCTATCACACTTTGTGTGCACGTTGCTCCTGCAATTTTCTCACTGCAAAACTTTGGTCTTGGTGCTGTTCTTCTGTCATGTGTCATTTCCGAACTACATGAACCGCCCTTACCGGGACTCAAACTCATGACACTTTTTCTGGAATTCTGACCTGTCTGTATTCTATTTCTGGTCTCAAGGAATAAGCATGCCAGGTTTGGTGCAAATTGGTATATTCATTCTCTAGCTGGAAGCAAACACGCACAATTTCAGTATCGATGTGGCAGTCTTCTGGATTGAAGCTCTGTGTAGTCTGGTAGAAGTTTATCAAGGTTTCGGAGGTCCTTGCTACCTCCATCATCAGGGTAGTGGAGGCAGCAAGGACCTCAGAAACGTCGATAAACCTACCAGACTTCATGACGCTTCAACCTAGAAGACAGCCATCTTTGTACTCACTACCACAAAAACCTCGACTCCTACTTAATTTTAGTTTTATATATGAGAAGATTTTGTTGATACGGATGAAGTTATGTGTTGCGAAACACAGAGAAGTTTCCAAATGCTAGCGAGGACTCTGAGAATAACAAAGACCGAGAATGAAGTAACAGGACGAGGAGGTTCATAATTTGTACTTTTCATCCAATATTACTAATGTGAGAAAATCAAGAGAAATTAGATGGGCAGGGCATGTAGTGTACATTAGACATACAAAATGCATTGAGGGGATTAGTCATAAAACCCAAAAGGGAAGGGACCACTTGGGAGACCTAGACATATGTGAGGATAATATTTAAATAGATCATAAAATAGTCTTTATGTGAGAGTGTGGATTAAATTCACTGGACCAGTTTGGATTCTGGTGTACGTGGTAATGAATGTTTACGTTTCATAAAAGGTGGAAAATTTGTTCACCAGCTAAGGCACTCAACGCTTTTATGAAGATTCTCTACATTTGGTCTCAACTCCAGTTATAAATTTCTTGTGTGTGATCACGAATTTGGGCCATTAAAGTGGCCAGTATCATCCTTAGAGTACTGCTGTGGCCTGTTCTATACACAATTGTTTTTTGCTAATTTTAGGCTTGAATGCAATTTTTGCTGTGTCATTTTACTGCCTTGTAAGTACCCACTGATATTTCACACATTTCAGCAACAGTTTCTGAAGTACATAGTTTTTTGTAGTCAAATATCATAACGTGATGAAATGTTGGAACATTTCGAGGTTTTTGCGTAATGATCCAAATTGTCATGAAAGTGGTGTGTCATCAAGACCTTGTTAGTATACACAGGATTTGCCATGTGATAGTGATGCAGGCTACTAGAGGCTGTTAGCGATGATTTTTATACATCGTATCGCATAATAATTTGTTGCCAAGTATGCTGGATGCGGTGCTGTTCGACAAGTTTCCTGCCATGTAGCGCGTGTGGTTAATCGCAACTCTGCAGATAGAAATCATAAAGTTGTCATTGTAGCTACCTATCAGAGGAATTCACTCTGATTCCAGGCTGTCTTGTTGACAATGTAACAGTAAACTTTCCATCACAGGTCACAAATAGTTCACGTACAATGTTCACCTGATGTGTATAACAAGTGAATGTGGTTTTCATAGAGACGTTAATCAGTAAATGTAATGCATTATTTTACATCATTGCCTGTTGATCAAATGATTCATTTTTCATGTGTTAAATGTTAAGGTTATTTGGGAATGGTGAATTTTAAAAGATGTGGAAGGCACTGTTTCAGCATTTTTCCAAAGGGACTAAATAAAACCACCATATTTGAAAATTTTGCTACCCACTGCAAAGTGACATTCAATGGACCTCTACTGACATGCTTTTACTCGCATTTAATGCCCTGAATATGAGATTCACGTGCCTAATGCCCTACTCTATATGTTGTTTGATTATAAATTTATTTAATGATGCTTTCTCAGCAATAATATGAAATAGAATATCTGGAACATTGTGAGTGATGTCAGGAAGAGCATGTAGAAAGAATTTGTCGTAACTTATTTTAATATAATACCCTTCAATGAAGTGAGAACAATTATGGAAAATGTGTCAGGTTAACGGGTTCCAGCCGAGATCCGAAGCTTAGACTTTCTCAGTGCAAGACATGCATGACAGATATTATACAGTGAAGTTTGGTACCAAGCATTTTCAGAACTAGATGCTCTGTTAAGGCGAGTTTCCAGCTTCAGGATTCAGTCTTTTTCGGCCCTCGTGCATCTTTTGCTTAATTTTCCACATTCCCAGCACCACAATGGAAGTTGAAAACCCCTACATACATTTCATTCAAATCTCGGAAGGGCACCGACAATTCTGTTTGAGTTTTCTTCTGTATTCTCAGGTGATACGATTTCTGGGATAAATTTTGAAATAGGTTATGACCGTTTCTCTCCAGTAATTTTTCAGTTTGCCGTACATAATCGTTATTTTGCCATGAATAGGTATAAAGCTGTGATGGACAGGCTCCAGCATACTCAGCTGCCTTCAAT